AAGTTCATTGGGGGTTTGACAGTGTGCACAAGTTTTGCTTTGAAAGAGCAAATATTAATTAACAACTGACAATACTAACCAAAAAATATGTACTACGTGTACTCATTAAGAAATCTACCAGCAGTCTGTTGAAAACAGCCAGAATATGTGATTTAAACATAAGACCCGCCTCTGATTAGCCAAATAGCCAAATATAGATTTTAATTTTGGGATTGGCCAATCAGATTTCAAGGAGGGCCCATGCCACCCCTGGTCACCCCCTTTAACACGCCCCTGTCTACATGGGAAGTAAACTAATGAGTTTAATGGGTTCTCCACCTTTTTATAAAAACAACATATTCATCTACTTAGAAATGATGTTGACTTAAACCAGCTAAGTGTGCATGAGACTACAAAACAGCTGTATTTGTTGATGTTTCACGAATTCATCACTCTTGCAGTCAACTGGACCATTGAGAGAGAGGTGGCTCAGTATGAAGCAAGAGAACTGCCGGGTTTCATCAACTACAAGACCTTTGAGGACATGGTCAAAGAGCAGATCAAACTGCTGGAGGGGCCTGCAGTCCAGAAACTCAAAGAAGTGTCAGGCATGTGTTATCATGATGCATTAATGGTAAAAGGCCAGATCGGAATATGTGATGTATCTTTCAAATGTGTCTGTTTTGTGTTTTATTTCTTAGAAATTGTGAAGAAAGATCTGCATAAGGTGGCAGAGGACAGCTTTGTTGGATTTTCTAACCTCACCAATATAGCCAAGGTCTAATTTTCAACATCCATTTCGACTTATGGCATGAATGTCACTAAACACAATTGAATGATTTTGATCAATCTTTCCCTTTAGAGTAACATTGACTCCATCAGACAGGAGAAGGAGGTTGAAGCCGAGGCCATGCTGAGGGCTCAGTTTAAAATGGAGGCAAGCGTTTACGCTCAGGACACCACATACAGCAAGAAGCTCGGGAAGAGGAAGAGGGAGGAAGAGCAGGCCTACGCATCTCCTTTATGTGTGTTAAAAAGCACAAGCACAGGGGGCGGAGCCACCCTGAAAGAGATGATCAGACACATTCAATCCTACTATCAAGTGAGCGTCAATTATGTAGCACACAATATTTACAGAAATAAACAAGTCATCCACATTCCTTTTCTGTCAATTGAGAAATTAACGATTAATGTCTTGGTTTATTGCTTGTCGCTGGGAAAAGTAAATATTTCATGTATGCAACTTTTCTGAAAGAATGTATGACACTGTTTCAGTGGGATATTTTTTTTACCAACATGTTTTTCCCACTTCAATATATATATAATATTACATTTAATATTTATTTTTGTGTTTTCCCCCCCTTATCTATACACAATCGGCTGATATCAATTTATATTGTCGTTTTTGTATCTGATTTTCATCTAGCACAGACTTCCCAAAGTTTATTTTATTTTATCTATAAAGGGACCATGTACAATATTAAACATAAATGGTGCCATTTGATGTGTTGTATCAGAGTTAGCTTAGAGCTAGTTGGTATCTGCAGTCCCTCAGCAGGTCACAATGAAAACAGCACATAGTAATAAAACATCACTAAAACAATAAACTATAACAAGCATAGCAGAGTAATGCAGAGCAGTACACACAAACACAGTATATTATTCAAGTCTTTACACAGACTTTTCATGCAGCAGATTTATTCAAAATGTAAAAAAGTGAGTTAAAGGAAGAATGTGAGAGATTATTCACATAAATACAGTGGCCCTCATTTATCAATCTGGTGTAGAAAGCAGCGCAGATTTGGGTGTAGAAATCATCGTACGACAGAGTCCACCGGGGACCTATGAAACGTGCGTATCTGGCTGATCACAGCTTATGCAAGACCCGGGCCGTATCCGAATTGCCAAGTACATACTCAATCTTTCAGTATGCAGTAGGCAGTATGCAGTACGTACTATCCGTGCTGCATACTGTTAGTACCTACTATTCAGTAGGCGCACACAGTAGGCAGATATTTGTGCCTACTTCTTCTGATTCATTCAGAATGATACGTTTCCCGAACCGGCCGCATCCACCCGTTTTTTTGTTTAGCTTTATTCAAGAAGAGTAATGCACATATACAGTCAGGTAAACAAAAAACAATATCACAATGTAAATTAAGTAAAAGGCAGATTGAATAACTAAATAACATACAGTACATAAAGAAAAGTACAAATGAAAGACAATAATATACAGAATATAAAATAAACCAATAAAGATGCATTTAAATAGTTAAATCATTATTTAAATAGAGGGGGAAAGGTTTTATAATAATGCAGATATTTGTTATATTTTCTGTTGTTAATTTAAAGTAGTGATTTCAGTCGGGACTTTCACTCTAGACTAAAAATTGATTAAATTAATCCACGCTCGTTTGTTTTGATTTGAAGGCGGACGTGACGTGACGATTTACGTTTAATTTCGCACAGCATTGTGGGTGGTAAAATACAATTCATTTCCTGAAAGCACGCATCCGATCCATACTGCATGAAACCCGGAAGTTAGTATTCATACTGAAATGTTCAGTATACTGCGCGGACCCAAAAAATGCATACTGAATGACCACGAAAGTTCAGTATACTGAAACTCCATACTGAATAGTACGTACTGCATACATGGATACAGCATACAATAGTACAGCATACTGCATACAGTCTACATCTGTAAATTTTGTAATTACTGTACATAGCACAGACTCTTGCACTTTCTGCTTATTTGCACTTCTGGTGAGATGCCAAACCTCATTTCGTTACTCTATACTTGTATATGTGTAATGACAATAAAGTTGAATCTCATCTCATCTCATCATCATCTCATACTGAACTGTGACAATTCGGAAAGGGTTCGGGTGTTGATAAGTGTGGCGGCTAGAAACTATCGTCATTTAAATACCACGCCCCTATATATTCACAGCTCAGCTGTCCTCGCCCCCAGAGTTTACGGCATGGAGATACTTAATACGGCAAAGAAGAGAAACAAGATATGACCTGAGTGACACCATAACAGAGAAAAGTAAAGAGGAATAACGTTGTGTTATTTGGCAGCCTGAAATGAAGGATTAGCGAGCTTCAGAAGAAATGCGCCTGCATGAAATCTCAACAGCGTTGGTGTGGATAACCAAACTCCAGCAGAGTTTTTAATAATTAATTTAACATCCGTGTAACGTACATAATCTAGGCTATAATATAATCACAATTTTTTACTAGACCATACGATCGCTACAATATAGGCTAGTTTTGCGGGTCTTAAAAGAAGCAGCTCCCGGAGCGGACCGGAGGCCGTACCTCACCAAATAATCCCAGATCGTGGAGCGAGTGGCTTCTTTCATCAATCAGCCTCAATATCAGGCAGAAGTTGTACAGGCGAACCTGCATCTGTGTCGGATAACTTCGGCTGCACTGTCAGCTCGCCATTAATGAGACTTTAAACGGATGAACGAAAACCTGAAACGTCCTGCAACAAATGAATAAAGTGTTTGATCAAACGCTGTACAATGTGCACTTCTCATCCGATTAGCCTTCTTTCCAAACATAAGAATTTAACACTTACATAAACGAAGGTCCTGACTCCGTCTTACAGCCCCCCGGATTTCTTTATTGGTTATTATGTCACATGTAGTCTCTGGCCTATGTGCGTCTGCTGTGCGCAATTACGCATGTGGCACATCAGTGTATTTATTATTTTAATCTCCGGACATACCAATTAGTTATGATCTAATGTTGATGTTCTGTTTTCCTAAATATTTAATATTTCAGAGGCTAAAAGTTGTATTTAGTATCTCTAGAAGTTTTTCTGTCTTTTTGAAGGAACTGTTCATTGTTTTTCTGATTTAATTTGTCTCAGTATTTTCTGCAGTGATATTCCTGTGAGCTGAACATTTAACATGTATTTACTGAAAGCAGCCTCTCTAATCTTTAATCTTTCAAGTAAATCGATTAAACAAATATTAATTCATCAAATATAACACACAACTAAAGAAATCACCTGACAGCTCACGCTGCTCAACATTATTTAAAAAGCGATGTAGTCTACAGAGATCGTTTGAGGTGGAGCGTAATATAAAAAACATTTTAGATATCTTATCTAACAGTAAATCTGTGAACCTCTATCTATCTGTCTTAACAAGCACTTTTATAGTATGATCTAATGATTGTCCGACACAGACAGATTCACCGCAGCGCAAGTCCACACTGAGTTGAAAATTGGGATTTGAGCGTACCCTCCGCTCACGTCCAAATTGATAAGTGCCGAACTTTGCGTGGAAATGACCGTACACCCATTTTTCTGCCGTACGTACGTTTGATAAGTGAGGGCCAGTGTGAGTATACGTTTTCCTCCATTAGTAAACATAAGGTGTTCCCAGATCAATTATAATTACATTCTTCTGCATGAACAATCAATAAAATATTTAAGGCACTCAACTATATTTTTGGGAGAATTTGTCAGGTCAGTTGTCAAATATAACACATTATGTTGTAAGCAGCTAAACATAAAGACATTTGCATGTATGTATGTATATAGAGTACTGGCGGAAGAAAACTACTTAATGCTGTAGAGTAGGCTATATACAGATATTTCTGTGACACAACATGATTACAAACAGGAGCTGTGTAACATCTCAAAACTATCTCCTCAAATGTACAGATTGCCGGCCAGCGTCTGGCTGAACAGATCCCCCTGGTGATCCGCTACCAGATGCTGCAGCAGACTGCCATCCAGCTGCAAGACGAGATGCTGCAGATGCTTCAGAACAGGCGGATAACCGAGACCATGCTTCAAGAAGACCCGCACATAAAATCTAAGAGAATCGACCTTCAGAACCGCCTCAAGCGCCTGTCAAAGGCTCGCTTTCTGTTAACTAATTATATCATGAACATATAAAATTTCAAAGCAAAAGCAGTGAAACAACAAGATAGTGCCATGAATGGTAGTCCTGTTGGTCCACTGATCCTTCATCTGCAATCAGGTGCAGAGAAACAAGGTGTTGGCCCAGTCAAACACCGAAAATCAGGAAAACATCAGCCCAATGTGCGTTCCGAGGTCAAAATGGTGTTTTTATCAGCTGGTTTACCAACTTAACACACAGGTATGCAAATCACTCGAGCTTCTGCTATATCAGTCCAAAATCATCATTGTCTCCAAAAAAGGATAATTATTTGTCAGCTTAGAATTGTTTTTAGCTTTGTCTATTTATGTGTTAGTACTTTCAAGTTGGGGGAAAAAATTAGTAATTTTCTTATGGCCAAAGATACAAATTCTGACTGTAGACTGTAGTGCATGCCAAATTTGAACTTTAAGGACCAGTCTTATTCACATACCTTATTTTCTTTGCAGTTTTTACTCTTGACATTATTATTTATTGATTTTATTTGAAGTCTATTCAAATGACGGAGTCGTTTTAAATTGTTAGAAGTTATAGCCATATATCCGTTTCATTATTGTGTGTTTTAAGGTTTTTGGCTGCCTCTGTAAGTCTGATGTGCGCTTTGACATTTTAACTTTAACAATATTTTCATATTCATATCTTTGTTCCATATTTTGTTAGCTGTGTACAACTTTACGTTTACCCCCCCACACACACACACGGTCCTTTTTCAACAGGCAAACATCAAACCAGGTGTTGCAGTGATGGAAGCCAGCAAGCGAACTGGCAAATTTTATTTCTATTTTGTAGTCGATCTTTGTTCCAACCCTCACCTGTGGACATGAACTATAGGTATTACCTGGAAGAATGAGGTTGTGGATACCATTGGGAAAAATAAGTTGGCTGAGCTCACCATTAGAGATAGGGTGAGACACTCAGACACCCTGGGGATGCTCAGAGTAGAGTATTTCTTTAAATCCAAAAGAGACAATCAAGGTGGTTCATCCAATTACGATGAACCCGCATCTATTGCTTGTTGACCAAACCCTCCCATGGCCCCAGCCCCGCCTTTTTCATATTTTATCCATCTATACTTCTCTTTTTTCTTTATTTTCCTTATATGTATTTATGTGTGTAAACGTACATTTGACTTTCTGTTTGTCTGTTCTGCCCGTGCCTCACACCGCGTATCCTTCTTTATATCAGGGTCCTTGTCATTTTAACTGTAGTGTATAGAGGTGCGTGTGTGTTTGTGTGTGTTTGTATGTGGGGAATTTGTTTTGATTTTTCAAACCGTGCATTCTAACCAAAATGGACACCACAAAGGTGGAGTGCAAGCCTATAAAAAAAGGGAAAAGTGGACTTGCATGCCTGTTACTAATACTGAGCATCTTCTTTTTTTTATTCGTTTGTTTAACGTTGAATAAAATCTGTGCAGTTCATGAGTAATGTTCAAAGACTAATGCTTGGATGCTGTTTGTTTACATCGATATCACTTGTGCAACCCTGTTTGTTTTTGTTTATTTTTTACCTCTTCAGCATGTAGCTTGCATCGGTGTAGAGCATATTGAACAACCATGTATGTATTATAATGTTGTGACATCCATGAGTGTCATTCATGATAATAAAGAGGCTCTAATTTGCTCATAAGTGTTGTTTGAGAGTCTGTTCTGATATCATTTTATAATCTGTGTTGAACATGTAACTGTCACCTTTGAGCTGTTTACTTGTTTTCAATAGAAACAGGGATATTCTGATGCTTCTCTCAGGTGCAACAAAAAGCCATCAATGGCAGGGTGTGTTTGCTCTGTGAAATATTGATGTGCAGTTTTTACAGACAACCTTCAGGCTCAACTTCATTAGTAAGTGACTCATTTGATTAATGATTGGGCTTTCTTCTGTGCTCTTTTCTAACAGTGAATTAAATGTATAACTTCCTTTTTTATTTATATAAAGATACTTTGGGGTCATTTTTGCCTTCACTGGACATGACAGCTGAGGACAGGAGGAGAGAGCGGAGGAATTACACGCAGCAAAGGGCCGAACTTTGGACCCACGGCCGCCTCGACACAACCATTCAGGCTATCTGTGCCCTCAACTCTTTTGAAAAATTGTACTTTCCAGAAAATAAAATGACCCACTGCAAATCTACAACTTGTGTGAAAGAACAACTTGCAATTCCTTTAGAGACTTTATTGTCCAAAGTGAGCAGTGTCAATAGGTCTATCCAGCAGTGTAGTGGTGCCTATAGAAGTGGGTATAGAAGTGGGTATACTCTTCATTTTTCCTTCAACTGTTTTTTTAAGAGTCCCACCCAGCAGAGGATAATCGGCCTCAGTTATTAACAGTGACATGTAAGACTACTCTCGCATAATTAGTTAGTGTGTATATTAGCCAATTAGAGACAGAGTAGGGAGGGGCATCCCTTCCTCATCTTAGCAGCATGCTATGAATATTGTCCATCAATCAATGGTGTGAATCAGAGGGGATTTAGAAGTGGGTATACCCTATGTAGACAAAAAAAACAAGTACACCGTATACCTGCATATACCCTGCACTACACCACTGTGCCTATCTATTATTTGATAAAGACTCACGTCATGTGCTCAGAATTGATCCTAGAAGAGTCCCCACCACACACAATAAAAGTGTGGTCAAACATTTTGCACAGAAAGATTGGGTCAGAACATCCCTTTGTTGTTTTGTGGAAAAAATACTAGTTTACATCCATACAAAGATATAGGCCAAGTTGTCCTGGTGATAGTGGCAACTTAGCAGACGGATGCAACAATGAGGCCATCTTGTGGCTGCAGTGAATATGTACCCTGATTATTTCCTTCAGTCTGTGATGGCTGCTCCAATATACTGTATAATCTATATCTGCTGTATCAATAAATGAAAGGGTGAAGAAGTAGACTTATTTTACATTTGAAAGATTGCAAGCACTCACATCCTCACCACAGACACACAGGGTTTTGTCAGATCCCAACCCAGACACATCATTTGGTATTTGATTTTAAAAAGTTTGCCTTTATTTAAGAGTTGTTCCTAAAGGCTGTCTACTTAACTAAAAAAAAACTAATTTCTTTGTGAAGAGTTTAACTTTAATTGTAAAAATAAAAAGCGTAACGATCGACCACATGAAGAATTGTTTACTAATAGCCTATCACATAAAATGAATGTGTTTTTTTCAGTGTTCATTTGATCTTGAGTTGACTTTTATTTGTGGGTTTTCTCTATTAGGCTACGTCCTGTGATTTATAGACCCACTATGACTTGTTGCATTTCATTTTTGGTTGTCCATATATTTCCCTTTAAACTGTGTGCAATGCAATTTACAGTACATGACCCTGGGCTAGAAGAACAGAAACTCAAAGCATGACATGGGGAAACTGATCTACAGGATACCCTACTGATGTTACAAAGTCGCACTGTAGGCTACACAAAAGCAAGAGAAATGAAAGACAGAGAAACGAAACCTAAATATATTCAGGATGTTTTTCCGCATGAACAGGAAACAAATGGAGAAGCAAGGAAACGAAACCTAACTTCACTTTGTTTCTTTTACCTTCTGGACCTGAGCCAATAGTATGGCTGAAGCCTGATATGCCTACTGCGGTCAAGCCAGCCGCTCCTCGCTTTTACATGGTGAAGAGAGCCGCCCCTAAATTTGAAGTGCTCACGTATTCTGATCTTTATGGTAAATGCTCCGGACTGCAGAGCGAGCAGGAGTAACAGACAGAGAGAGCGATTTTGCCCCGTTATTAATCTCATTTTTTCTTTTTTTTGAAAGTGCTAAATGTCTAGGTCTTACCATAAAACTGGCTATGAGATACACGTGTATGAAACGGGAGTAAACCGATTACTGTACAGGGAATAGCTTCACAGAATAATTCTGCGAGTCTGCGGTAACTTCCGTTTTTCAAAATAAGGTGTTCACAATTTAAAAAAAAAAAAGTTTTCTTGGAGAAAAAAATAATTATATATTTTCTGACATAAGTACACAATGATTCTGATATGGTTGGACTAAGTACTTCTTAGACTACATGCACAGGTAAAGTACTTTTACTGTGTACTTTTTGAGAAATCCATTGACAAAGTCCCTTATAAATCACTATAATGACTCTTTTTCTGACTTTGATGTCTTGTAAAAAATAATTCTTCCATAAGTAGACAATTATTCTGATATGGTTGGACTTAGTACTTCCTAGACTACATGCACAGGTACTATGAAGTACTTTTACTGTGTCCATTTCCATTGTCAAAGTCCATAATAAATCACTATAGAGAGTCTTTTTTTATGACTTTAATGTCTTGTAAAAACCAATTCTTCCATAAGTAGAAAATTATTCTGATATGATTGGGCTTAGTACTTTTTGAGAAATCCAACCATATCAGAATCATTGTCTACTTATGGAAGAATTTGTTTTTACAAGACATCAAAGTCAGAAAAAAGACTCATTATAGTGATATATCATGGACTTTGACAATGGATTTCTCAAAAAGTACACAGTAAAAATACTTCATAGTACAGGTGCATGTAGTCTAGGAAGTACTAAGTCCAACCATATCAGAATCATTGTCTACTTATGTAAGAAAATATATATGATTATTGTTTTCTCCAAGAAAACTTTTTTGTTTTTTGTTTTTTTAATTGTGAACACCTTATTTTGAAAGACGGAAGTTACCGCAGACTCGCAGAATTATTCTCACACTAACTTCCCCGACCTCCGAAGCTATTCCCTGTACCGTATTCTGTTTACTCCCGTTTCATACACTTGTATCTCACAGCCAGTTTTATGGTAAGACCTAGACATTTAGCACTTCACTTCATCGCTCTCTCTGTCTGTTACTGCTGCTCGCTCTGCAGTCCGGAGCATTTACCATAAAGATCAGAATACGTGGGCACTTCCAATTTAGGGGCGGCTCTCTACCATGTAAACTCGAGGAGCGGCTGGCTTGACCGCAGTACAAAACTGGCGGTTCACCTGACATAACCCAGTCATTTATAGTCCAGCATACAGCTGATACTGTAGAGTCGTCAGCGGCGACAAAACTTGTCAGTAGAGATCACTTTTATTTAACGTTTTGTTGTTGTTGTTGTTGTTGTTGTCCTTATTCAATATTTTTCATTTGCAGGAGGCAAGAAAACATCAGCATGAACACTCTGAACCAGCAGTATGAGGAGAAGGTGCGTCCCTGCATCGACCTCATTGACTCTCTTCGCTCTCTGGGTGTAGAGAAGGATTTAGCGCTGCCTGCTATCGCCGTGATCGGAGACCAGAGCTCGGGGAAGAGTTCCGTGTTGGAGGCGCTGTCCGGGGTGGCTCTGCCCAGAGGAAGTGGTAGGCTCTTTGCTGAAACTTTAGGCTTAACAAAGGCCTAAAAAAATCTGTCAATAGTTATTCCAACAGGAATGGTGCGTTTCTTAAGTCACTTTGTTATAACTCAGAAAAAAAAAAAATCTAAAACCAATGATAACCAGAAACTTTCAGCTCGTGTTGGCTAAATGTTTACGGCGCCACCCCGTATTCAAAGAGGAACATTTATCTATTTGTCCTGTAGCCTACATGTCTAAAAACGTAAATCCTTCTGTCTTTTAAAAGTCAACTATATTGTCGCTAATCTTATTTAGTGCGCATGCGTCGACCGTCCCCTAAACCGTTTCCCATTCATTCTCTATGGTAGTGCTAAACCACTACGGATGTAATATACTTTTGGCCACTACGACTTAGTGGCGCTGTCCCGAGTTTTTCTTCAGAGCGAACTGCGGTGGAGACAAGACACTATCTACTTTCTTCGAATTCTCATCACGCAGTATTCACTAATCAAAGGTAAGAGACTTTGTTTGGCATAAATTTAAAACTATAGGGTCAATTTATTATTATTTATTTTCTCTGTCAGACAATATTGGTGCAATAACGTGATAAATTACACTAACAAACAAACGTTATCTATTTAATGGTCAAGTAAAGTAAACTTTTATCAGGACCATGGGTGTTACACTATTTTTCAGAGTCAAATTAAGTCTTAACTACAATATCAAATGTCATTTTGTTCCTCAATTATTTGATAGGAACTCCTCTCCTGCCCCATTTGCCCCTCTCCAAACTCATACACTTAAACTCAGGTGCTTAGGCACACACAGTTTTTTTCCCACATCTACTGCCCCTCTCACTCCCCCCCTCTATTCTTGCTCACACATGCTGTGCTTTCCTCCTCCTGCTGCTCCCACCCCACCCTCTTACCCTTTAGTTCTCAGGCAGACTCTCAGATGTACAGACACACACACACACACACTTCCTCCCCCTTAGATCCCAGAGTAGGTGAAGATCAGAAAGGTGTGAAAAACTATTGTCTTTTTAGCCTTCTGAACTTTTTAGTGAAGATCATAGAAGTTTTGCCGCTGTAAAATATTTAATTGGCCATTTCTATTTGAGTGGGATTAATATGTGATCTGAAATATTCTGGTATTTTTTTCACAAATATCTTCTCACTGTATCTGATTAAAATGAATCTAAAATTCTATTATTTTCTTTTAGGTAAAGATGCACAAGAAAGTGTTGTTCTTCCCGGGGAAAGTCTGTGTTGTGTTCCGCAAGGGACCACTCGGATTTCTCCTCTAGGAGCCGTCAAAGGAAGCCAGAAGA